GGAACAGAAACAGTTGTTAATTTTAGCATGAAACTTGAGCAGTCTGCGTAAGTATTAAATTACTCAAATGGACTGACAACACAGATTAGTAACTTACTAAACTTTAGTAACTAAAGTTACTAAAATAAAAATTATAACAGCACAGAGAAAACAGTGGTTCTTGAAGAGTAAGGTGAGGGATGTAGTTTTTACTCCCAGTATCCTGGGGTGGATTGACGCATGACTTGCTGCTGTTGAAGGATGCTGCATAGCCTTAGCTGTCTGCTGTGGATTCACGTATTCAGGCTGTATCTTGCTGGTGGCAGGGGACTGATGCAGTGCTCACAGACAGCAACTGCAGTGTCAGAGCACAGCTCCTTCACTGAATGATGCTGAGGACGTGGATACAGGTGATGATAGACCACATGCTATTAAGGACCACATTCCTGCCCTTGATGAGATTAAAGATACTCTTTGAAGAGAACTTTCTAGAGGAGGAGCTTTCCAACAGACAGGCTATAAGCCAGAGCGAGAACTTTTCCTTAGAGCACTCTGAAGTTTCTCAACGTCAGTGTTTTGTAATGCATCAGCTTTGAATGAAAGCATCGCAGAGTCTGACCCTGCAGCCTCACATTGCAGGAGGCTGCTCTGCCTCTGGAGAGCCCAGCAGCAGACTCAAACCCTTGACCTTGAAATTTGAAACATTTAAAATAAGTTTGGATACAGGTCCAACTGTATTATTGTATTGATTCAGATTTTTGGGTCACGCCCCCAAGATGCTGTATACAGCTACTCTAGTGGCTTGTATTAACAGAGATAACAGCCTTTTCATTTTCTTTTTAATTTATTTTTAGTAACATTGTTTGGAAATCTGTTATTTATGCCATTGTTCCCTGAGATAGTGATATTTACACAAGGAAGCTTATGTTTCCAGCACATCAGCTGTTTTGGTCTGTACCCGGGATTAGGAATAAATCTGCCTTTGGGTAGCTATACCATAAATGGGTATTTTGAGTTTACTGCAACCTTTTTTGACACATCTTTCATTGCTGGAAAAGGATATTGGAGTTAGATGATTCATGTAATGTGGCACAGAAGATCCTGTGTATCCTTTGCCCTTTTAAATGTAGTGTTCACCTCAGTATAGTTTCCTCATGTCTCTAAACAATGTCTGGGGATTTGTGATGTGACCTTTGGGTGCCTCGGACACTGCTTTGAGACAGCCCGTCTAAAAATTACCTGTTTGCAAGCTTATTGTCAGTCTGTAGTCCTGCAGCTTTTATCCCCTGTCTTTCGCAACGGGGATTTCTCTTGAGGCACCACAGCTTGACTGTGAATGTGGCTGCTTGCACTGGACTACGTTTTTAGTCTCTTTTTGAGTTTTGTGTTTTTTTTCTGATGCCTTTTTCATCCCTACTTGTACCAATCCCCTCTTCTTTCCTCTAAGTCTCTTCCTCTTTGCTTTGCTTTTTCACCTTTAGGTGATGTTATCAGTGCAGACTGCTACCATTTAATATTAATAGTTTTTCTAGTATGTACAAATGCAGTGCTTCAAAGCTGCTGTCGTCCAGTTGACCAGAACAGCCAGCTGGGGTATTTAAATGCAGCTCTGTTGGCTCTGTGTTGAATATGCTAGCGACATAATCTGCTGTTTTGAAATTGTGTGCACAGATGTTTGTTTCTTCCTTTTAATAATACATGGAATGCTGTATAGGAGATTATTTTATATGAAAAATAAACCTTGCGATGGAAGGTACTAAAAAATACGGGTTGACAATGAACACCTGGTAGTAAACTCACTACCTTTTGAAAACTGTATAAAGTATAGCTGATTTAAATCCAATTTACACTATGAAAAGTTTTCTTTTCTGCACTGTGCTAGCCAAAATGTTGGTTGCTTAGGATTTTGCCAGGCAGATTACACTGATGACTGTGCGCTGACTTGTAGGACTTGAAAGAGTATAACTAGAAATGTTTGGTGAATATAGATTAGAATAGTGCTGATAAAAAAACCTGGCACTCTAAAACTGTGATATTTTAAGAGCCAATGTCAGACTGTCTAAATCGAGATTAATTTGTCAGGTAACTGTCAGTGTGGGGGATAGGCTTCCTTTTGAGAAATTCCTTCAAGTGAATCTGTGCTAATCCATATTCAGTCTCATGTAGCAATACTAAATGCTTAATAAGGATACAGCCTCCCTTTGCAGCGTGTCTTTCTGAAAAGAAAGGGACTAAAAGCAGAATGCGTTTTTGTTCTCTGCAGGTACACATCAACTAGAGCCTTCCTAGCCACTTTAAATGAAATGAATGACTATGCCGGACAGCATGAGGTCATTTCAGAGAACATGACCTCTCTTATCACTGGAGAGTTAACACGCTATGTGCAGGAGCTGAAACAAGAGAGGAAATCGGTAATTGATCATTTTTTATTATTCACAATTAATTGCCATTTAAGACAGATAATTAGTGGTAGGGGAGTTCAATGTTAAGCAAAGTTTATTTGTAGTTAATAAACATGAGCTTTGTTAATGAACCAAGCATTAAAAAAGTGGGTTATGTGCCCCGGCCAAGTCACTGAACCATTTGAATCAAATGTTATAAAATCAGACAGCAATGCCTTCAGGAGGATCCCTGCTAAATAAGGCCAGAGACCCATCTGTGCTTAAGGCTCTGTTAGCCAAAAGCTTGTTTGGGGAAGAGTCCAGCAGCACTGTGTAAAGCCTGAAAGAAACAGAGAAACTGTATTACTGAGACTGATTGAAAGAGTTATGAGGATCTTGGTTCACATTTTCCTGCTTCTCGGCCACATCTGGTCAACAGAACTTTCTGAAAAATTACTCTAATGAGAAGTATGGGGTCTGTCTTGTTTTGTGATGGTGGGGAATCTGCTTTTCAACCTGTTACCCTTCAAGACTGGTAGAATTAGGAGCTTTATTATGTTAGTACTCTATTTTAGCTAGCAGTTTAGGAAGCTGTGTGCCTGCTACAGTAAATGTTCAAAGCTGATTAATTTGCATGTCACCAGCTCTGAAAAGCATATAGTTGAGATGTGGTTTTTCTTCCTTGCCTTGAACCCTTTTATCCCTGGGATGAGTGGGCATAAAATAGTGATTTTAAGCATTATTGTTACAAATACTCATAATACAGGTATAAAATGACTGAGCAAAGTGCCACAAGGCAGGGGAGCAGCAGGGCACTTTATTTCATTTCCAAACTGCTGGTCCATTATGGAAAGTGCAAAAGTACTCTTGCTCAGTCCAGCAAAATTTATGCATTTATAAATAGTCCCACTAAACATTAAGCTTGTGTTGAAGTGCTGTGCAGGATCAGAGTCCTTGAAATTACCATCTTTTCCTAAGTATAGTATTAGGATGGTAAGTCTGTCAATAGGCATACCTTTAATTTGCAGAATGATTTGTAATCTTTCAGGGACGTAGTATTTTGGCAGCAACATGGAAGGATGTTTTACATATAGCTGTGATGAGAATGTTTTCTCAGCCACTTCTGTGACCTTTTATTCAGCATGGACTCTGTACAGTAAGCAAAGGGGGGAAAAGACATTCTAGTATGGCGATTTTCTGTCACTCCTAATGTTTTTACCTAGTTTTTCAATTATATGGGTGTATAAGGTGATTTTGGAATATCTATTAGACATTTTAAGTATGATGAAAGAGGACTTGCTGTCTTTCTTGTAAAGAATGTGAGCAGTAACTTTTGCTTTTTTTGTTTGTAGAGTTTTGAGGTAAGTATGGCTTGTATAAGTAATGGGTGCATGACAGGAAAATTATTTTAATATTGGTTGAGTGATAACAGCAAAAAAACCAACTGGTAGTGTATTTAAACGCTGTTGTGGATAATTCTTAGCCTTTACCAGAAAAGCTGTCAGTCATGGGTGGTTGTTTTGCTCTTGTAACATGAATATAAACCATATGAATTATGAATCCTTGTCTGAGTCCTGTAGATTTCTCATAAATGAACAAATGGTGTTGAAAAGGAAACTACTTCTGCCTTCAGGCATTTTTCATACATAGCTTCTTTCACTTCATACCATAAACCACAAATGCATCAGTCATGCTGGGATCTGCAGGAGGGGCAGGTGGTTGTTGGGTAAATATTACAGAGGGTCGATGCTTTGGCAAAACCTCTTATGATACAAATTGATGAATGGCTTGGTATTTTCAGAAATTTAGCTGGCAGAGTTCTCATGCTTGCTGCTTGATACGTCATCAGCTGTTATGCTACAAGTTCATAGAATCATTTATGTTGGAAAAGACCACTAAGATCATAGAGTCCTATCGTTAACCTAATACTACCAAGTCCACCAAGTTGCTATAAGAAAAGATGATCACTTCTGGGGCTAGGGCCACAGAATTGGGAAGAGGAGGAATTGGAAGACCCACATTCTTGTCCACAGAGTCTTGTATTATTTGGATTAAGTCATTCAGGTGTCGAAATACCTGTGAAATGGTACACATTTCCAGTGATTTCACTATGACTGGGATAGATAAGCACCCTTGCCCTTTTTGTTGTAATTTCTCACCTGGAAGATGGAAATTATACACAGAGGTGTCATAAGGATAAATGTGTGAAAGATGAACTTGGGTGCAGCAGAAAGTGGTCAGGCAAATATCAGACAAGAGCTTCTGTTTCTAAAGGAAACCCCTTTGATATGCAATAGGAATTGTGCATTTAATAGTCATAGGGGAGGAGGGTGGTGATCTTTAAACATGTGGGGTCTGATGCATGCCTGCATTACCCTGTTTTCATGCTCATTTAGCTCTATTGTTTAAAGTGGAATTACACCAACAGATGATTGGGATCACATGCACTTCTTTGGTTTTCCTTGACAAGTACAAGCCCATAGCCTCTGCGTAGCGCAGAACCTGGTAGTGTATAAAGCCTTACATTGATTTTATGCTGCATAAAATTCATTTGGCATGCAATTTTTACGTACATTGGATTTGTTAGGCTACTGTGAAAGGTGTATTTGATGGCTGCCTATGTCATGTTTTTTCATATAGGTAGTTGCTAATGGTGAAAAAAGGGAAGAAGCATCTAATCAAAAACAGGCAGGACAGTCTGGAGGCTGGACAAGTGGGATGACTGGCAAATTCACAGTGGTTTGGCGCTATTCAAAAGACAGATATTTCCTCTGGCCTGGTGGAGCTTGGGAGAGTTCTGGGTTACCTTTATGTTTTTACAGATAATGTGCTTTGCATGATGGTTTTTGATCATCAGAAAGTGGGAAGAAAAATCAGGCAAAGACTCTTTTTGTGAAACTTGAATATCTTCAGCAACAAAGGTCAATCGGTGCATTAAACTTTATCGTATTACGCATTCTTCTTCCATAGGATAGCCCTCGCTGATGTACCAGATGAGGTTTTTTGCCCTGACAGTCACTGAAGTTACACGTACACCTCGCCTGCTTTTCACACACAGACTGCGTGCATGTGAGAGGGAGAACTCCTTGCGCTGTTTCAGTTCTTCCCAGCTGTCTAGTGAAGTGAAACTCTTTGTAGTATGGTTCCTCACTTCAACTTCTTCTTGTATTCTCTTGATCTTAGTGCATCCGTGCTCTCACGTGAGTAATTGTCATCTTGAGCCAGGATCTTGCTGGCTGCTTCAAAGCTGAAATTTCATTTCTATGCTACGTGTGAAAGTCATGCCCCATCCACCTTCCTTCTGAGGTTATTGAGGTGGGATGCATGTGACTGAATTCCCTTTCACTGCACAAAGGCCTCCATCACCAAGCCTCACAAATGAGTTGGGGGTCACCTCTCAGAGTGGTTCAGGGAAAGAATGCGGTTCTCTGGTCATTCTTTGTGCCACACTAATGTCACCAAAGCCTTACTTTGGGGTAGCTGTAGAAGGTGTCAAATTTGAGCTGGGGGCCCTGCAGTATTAGAAAATGGGGTCTTAATCTTGCTTGTCTGTGACAGAAGAAAAGGAGATTATCCCAGTAATGTCAAGAGGGATGTTCTGACTCTACTTCATGAGCGCTAACAGGTAGTACATTTCCAGGTTGGAGATGTACTCAAGAGTTGTACTCCCACCCATTGTGACTGTTGCTGGTTGTGATAGTAGCTCCTAAGCAGACCAGTTACTCTCTGTATGAGAGAAAGATCACCAGCATTTTGATTGCTTGGGTGAGGGAATCTGCTTCTCCACATTGCTTTACCTGCCAAGTTACTCAGCATGCTTTTTTCTTTTTTTTTCTTTTTTTTTCCTTTCTTTTTCTTTTTTTTTGTTTCAAATCTAGACACTGGGGTTTTTTTGCTACCCTCTTTTTGGGTGACACCTAAGAGGACTTCTAAGCAAACATGTAGCCAGTGCAGCCCAAGAATTGAGAATTTCTTTTTTTTTTTTTCTTCTTCTTGAAGCTTCACAGGAGATAGCTTCGTTTAGGTATTTGCTCAACTATGGCTGAGGAAAACCCTGAATACCATAGCTTGTCTGGATAGAAATTTCTTCCTGGGACAATTCTGATTTAGATCTGTGGTCACAAAGTAGGTCTGACTCGTGGTCTCCTCTGGCAGCAGCTGCTCTGTGTAGCTGTTGCTCATGTCAGCTTTGCTAAAAATGTCTTTGGGAGTCATGAACTATCCCTCTTATTACTGCTGCTGCTTTCACCTCTACCTCCACCTCCCCTCGGGGGTAGGCTGGCTCCATACAATCAAGCGTGAAAGTCAAGTACAAGCCAAGAGCTGAGCTTTGCAGACTGAACTTGTGTAGCACTGGGATTCTGTGGTTGGGAGAGAATTTACCTGATGTCAATATGTTCCATTTTGTGTCGAGATAGAAGGGGAAGGGGGAATGAATGCATCCTTATGGGTACCGTGAGGGCAAAAATGGTCTGGTTCTTTATGGTGGAGTGTGTGCGCCCTCCCTGTGTGTATTCATCCAGGGGGTGTACATGTCAGAGAACTTTCTGGTTTTTGTAGGCTCTCAGGTGTTGATGAAAAATAAATAATTGGAGGAATTCTGCCACGTTCATTCATTCTGAATAGTGCCCTGTTCTGCAAATAGTCCTGTGGTTTTCATCAGGATTTCTCACGGTGTAACACACTGTGCAAGCATGAGGCAGGGTGGCAGAATATGACCATGTCAAGTGCACAATGGATTTTTCCCTGTTGCATTTTGGATGTGCCGCAGGGTCTCCGTGTGTTTGGAGCACAGCTGTGCTTTGTGCTGCAGAGGTACAAAGAGACATTGCTGCCTTCCAGAAATTACAAACTAATGTCAAGGTGGGTAGGAGGAAAAGAGAGACAGTGAAAGGAAATGATTTGCCAAACTTCAGGTTGATGAGATTTAAACTGAGCTTTCCCTAGCTCTTGTTCTGTGACTAACCCACTTCTAGCTTACTGCCCTATGAATGGAATTAGAAATATTTAGTTTTAATCTAAGTATAAGG